TACCAGAGTCAGAGCTGTTGCTGTTACTCATCTGTGCTGCCTGGATTGTTTGGTTTATTCATTATTAAATCATCATTCTGGTTTCACTGTGTCTGCCTCACCACCTCCATAACCACAAATCATGGGTAAGAACTGTCCAGTCCAGGCAGCATTCATATGGGACCCACATAAAGCTGAGCGACTAATCTGGAACATTTATTTTCTGAAGTCAGAGTTTGTGCGTCTAAAACAGAATTTATGTAAATTCGGAAGAAACACAACGAGCTTTTATCACAGATATTGTTTGTTGCCACTACTTGTTATGTTTTGTGGTTTTTAATATAAAACCAGAACACAGACAGGAGTTTAATTACTGAATGTATCTTTGATAAGTGGATATAGGGCAACAATAGAAAATGTAATTCCTCTAGTAAGACTTTATAACTGGAATGCCCTGCTTGTATTTATGCTGTTTTTACTCATTTTAAATAACGTTTCAGTAGCACATCATTTTGCCCTTAATGTACAGTATTTATTTTTTATTCTGTTTTTATGTATCTTATATTCTTTTTTGCAACTTCGGGCTTTGATTACCTGTCACCTTGCTGCTGCTGGGATTGCATTTTCCCTTTTTGGGACAATTAAGGAATTATATAGGATTAAGATGGCATTATCTAGGATTAAAATGTGATTACTAGTCAATATTTCCAATTGTCGTGCAAGAAACAACCACCTTTTTTTATTTGGCTGGATTAAAAAAAGATACACATTGCTGAGATGTTTGTTCTATTTTTCTGTTGATATTCTGGATACAATGACACCATATATGTCAGAAAGCCAAAAGTGTTTCAAACACTTTTGTCTGAAAAATTCTAATATTTTGAGGGAATGACAGAAAATAGATAAAAATAATATATCTCAGCTTACCTTTTCTGGAAATACACTTGTTGATGAGGATGAAGATGAGACTGATCACCAGCGACACAAAAACCATCCCCAGTATCACCAGCACCCAGATGTATTTGCGTAAAAGAGCCATGGAATCTCTGCTGAACACCACAAACCATCAAAAACAATAAAAAATTATACAAACGACACTCTTAGTTCAACTGGTTTTCATCTGTTGCTTTTCAGTATACAAGGCTGTGGATCGGAAAGACAACCATTCACCACTTCCTCTTTTTCAGCGTTGACTAAGTGTTAAAGTTATTTTGGTGTCAGCATCTGAATTGAGAGACTCAAACAAGCCTCCTGAAAGCCTCTAGGGACTGTTTTTGTGAGGAAGTCCGCCTCATGCACTGCCAGCAAAAAAGAAAGAAAAGTGTTAACATATTTTTTTAGCTGGTTGAGCTGTAAGAGTTTGTATTTTAACATGAAAACAGGAGGCAGTTTTTAATTTAACGGTTGATTCCATCTGGAAACATGTTTCCGCTTAATGTTTCCATGAAAATGCTATTTTTTTTTTACTCATTTATCTTTTCTCCCCACATTTTCTGTTCTCAACAACTTCCTGTTCGCTTCCAAGAACACATACTGCTTGTTCACAATTAAGGAGACATATTTAGACTTCTCTATATCAGCTCCAGCCTTTTGTGAAAACAACTGTTATTTTTCTCAAATAGGACTTAGGCAAGTCTACTATTAGGCTGACATAACATGTTAAAGTTTTAGCTGAAAAATCCCCCCAAAATACAATAATAATGTGTCCTACCTTTTGAGCAAATAGCTGATAGATCCGAGGCTGGGTCAGAACCAGGCGTCAGGTTCAGACAACTGAAGATGAAAGTGGGTGGCATATTACGGCAACAGTCATCATGTGCAGAAATTTTGCATAGCAGCTTCTCATTTTCTCCGTTACAGTGAAGAAACCTGCAGGTTGAGACTCTTCCATGCTCCGCTGACCCCAGCTTGTGGGGGTTGCATGTGACAGAGTCACAGAAGTGCAAAATATCTGTACAGAGGGCTTCAAGCATCTTTGTACTTAAACATAAAAATTTCCAAATATATGCATGGATATGTTTCCAACTAAGAGAGCCGAAATGTTTAAAGCAGGGAGGAAAAACTCATACACATCTGAGCCATTTGAAGTTTCAGTTCCTCTGGTAACACATTTATCTGTGGCCCATGTAACACCACTTTATCAGGATCAGATTAAACAGTATTATGCACATATTTACTATAAATCACATTTCAGATTATCACACAGTTGCATGGATTTCTGATGAATAAACCTGATTTTTATTCAAGGTGAGCAGCCAGATCATATGTCACTATCAGTGACATATTATAAGTCGCATTATTATTGAGACACATGCAAAAAGCTCTGCAACCAGCTTTGTTTAGTTGAAAACTGTAAACTACTAGTATCCAAACTTTTTGCCAGAAGGTGCCAAAATTGTTATGTGGAAAGCACTTGGAGGCACAAATTGTATTTTTTGTTTTGTTTTTTTTGTTGTTGTTTTTTCAATACAAAGTTAAAAATAACTTTCAGTGCCTCTCTTTTTTATTTATAACTTCTTAATACTAAACTAAACTTGCCTTATTGAAACTAACAAATTGGCCAGATTTTTGTTGAAAGGAGCCAATTATTTTAACACAGACCAATGAGTTCCTTATTTTTGGGAAAGTTTTATTTGTTTTTGTTGTTGTTGTTGTTGTTGTTGTTGTTTTTTTTTGTTTTTTTTTGTTTTTTTATGGGTGGAATGTTAATTAATGAGCAATAATTTGAGTTGTGGGTCTAATATACAGTTTTTTATTTTAGGAAAATTTCCATCAAAATTTTCAAACACCTCTGCTTGCAGGCCAGATTTGTTGCCTTCCAGTATTGTGGTTAGCAGCCACAAAACAAATGGTCTGCAGGTCACACTTTGGACACCACAAATTTGTAACTTCAAATTCAGAAGTTTACATAAATTTGTCAATATTTGGGATATCTGGGTCATATATCTTGGGTTTCCTCCCACAAATGTCTGAAAGAGTAACTGACACATTTAAAAAAGAGTCACACCTGTAAATGTATTTTAATATCACACCTGGAGTTCACTGCTTTCTGGTTTAAAACAATGGGAAAGTTAAAAGAAATCAAGATACCAGGAAGAGGAGTGACAGGCCCCATTGAACCATGTAGATTTACACAAATATAAAAATATGCAGAAGATGTAAAAGCAGAATATGTCATAAATATCATGGACATTTATTATTTTTTCACATGTAGAGAGTCACACAATAAGAAATGTAAAAAACTTTTGACACATTGGTTTTCAGCATTGAATTGAGGGCAAAACTAATCTTAGAAAATAAAATTACAAAAAATGCTGCAATAACCCATTACAACAACAGCAGCAGCAGCAACAACAACAACAACAACAATAACAATAATAATAATATTAATAATAATAATTCACACATCATAAACAATATTATTATTATTATTATTATTATTATTATTATTATTATTATTATTATTATTATTATTATTATTATTATTATTATTGAGATCAGCGTGAGGACAAAGTAGTTGGACAAAAAATTGCTTAGATTTTACAACTAAATGTAATTATGTGTTTTTATGGTTTATTTGAGAGGTGAAATTTTATATAATTTTTGATCCTCATTGATTGTACTGACCTATTTTGATTTCCAAATATTGTTAATTTTGACACAAACATTTGCAAAATTATTTTGAAATTAAAATGTTGTGCTTTATTAGAATATATTTTGATTTTGGACACATTTCCAAAGGCAACATGCCACTCACAACATGACAGACGAGATGACGTATCATTTCTACTGCGTAGAAATTATACGATAGTCTGCGCTTTTCTACGGAGCCCGCGGGGTGCGTACTTCTCGGTCTATGGAAAGTAAAAACGGCATGATTCACAGGAAATGCTCCTGTTTCCTTCAAAACAAAGCACTGACGCTGTAAATATTCTAAAGATGCCTATCTTGCGATTATTACAGACATTTAAAAAATTGGCTAAATTTATTTCTGTTGATCGGTCTTTTCTTAAACGTAAACATGCTAAAGTTTTTATTAAGTGTCCTCAAAGCAAAATAGATTGGTTTTATTTTGAAACTCTAACCAGAAACTCTTCCCTTCCTTCATGACTAGCTTCACAGCGGGTTGTGATGTTAGCTTGTTTTCGTGGGCGCTCCTAGCTGTTTCCCACCTCTCTGTTAACTGCCTGAAGCTTCCCTCAGGAAACCATGGCCGAGGAGGCCGAGGGTTCCCCTCTGTCGTCTCAACATGACGGTAACTGTCCTGTGTTTGACGCCCTTCTCTGGTGGCGGGTGTAGGGGGGAGTGTTGACGGTTGACAGACCCGAAGGCAGCGGCCTCTGCATCCTTGACAACATTAGCCAGTTAGCATCATCAGTGCGACGTGTCACTGGCTCTTATTGAACATTTACTACCACCCACTATGTGCTCTTACGAACATCACATTATCAATTTCAGTTTTACTAAAGATTTAAGTGACACAACAGGTGTTTTACTGCCAAATTTACCTACCTATAAACCCAACAAAATAACATTAGTTTCTCTGTACCACCACTCTTTCTAGCTGCTGTTTAGATGTGAGCTTTATCTACTTATACCAATTTGATCTAAATGTCGGTTCTGGTCCTGAAGTTTAAGCCTGTCATGCAGTTCTTGTGGGTCATATCAGCCAAATGTAAAATTCTGAGTATGTAGGGTTGGACTTGCATTTGAGGCTGACTGATTCACCTGCATATTGTATTTGTTTTGCAAGCCAGCCAACTCTTCTACATTTGAGTAAGCTGTGTTTATGTTATCGATGTTACTAATAGTAAAGTTAATCATTGAGTTTTTCATAATTTTCAGTCTTTGTTTAGCCAAACTAAATTTCATAAAAGCATCCAATCCTCTTCGATTGGGATCTGCAGACATTCTTTCTCAATTTTGTTGCAGGGATGAACAACATTTTGCTTCCAAACTGCTAATGTTGCTAAACATACCCTTAGAAATGTGTGCTGAGCTCATCTAGATAACGAAAAGGAGACAGTCAATAAATAGAGCTGCATAATCAGTAGAATATCATTGCAGTATCAACATTGCATCAAGAATGGACTGTTTATATGCTAAGTGTAGTAAGTAGGCTAGAGAAGCAGTTCCCAAAGATGTGGTTGCCTGTATGCAGGTGTGAGAGAGCTTAAGATCCAGTTGAGAAAATAAAAACTAAAAATGGCAACAATAAAGCATATGCATTTTAAAAATGGTAAAAAAAACAAAAAAAAAAACAAAGACATAGAAAAATAGGCCTGGAATTTATAAAACTGGTTAATTTATTGGCTGTTGATGATGATTGTGTTGCTATTATACCTCTTTTGAACTGCTTGTTTGCACAACAAGGAGACAGGGTCATGAGCTTCTTACATTTTTTGTTTTTTGGGTCAGAAGCTGGAAAGCTTTGCAGAATTTCACATGCCTTACATAAAAAGTCTGATTGCAAATATTACATTTGGTCGCTTGTTTCGAATTTCCCTGTGCTGTGTGCCCATATCTGATATAGATTTTCAATATTTGACATTAGTATTGCAAGGTCAAATTCTTTGTTTGTGCACAGAAACCTGGCCAAGAAAGCTGATTCTATTATAAGTGTGCCAGTCTTAGATACTTTCCTTTAGCGTAAAACTCAGTGTTTACTTGTAATGATTTCTGGTATTTCTCTTTGTGATTCGTAATTTCCTTATTTTTTTTTCCAAAATCAAAAAATAACCTCTGACTGAAACAATTATCGGATTGACCTTAATGCTATTTTTATCTTTATTTGCCCCCGTTACAATTTTTTGGTTCCACATTTAAATGTTTCCAACCATCCAGCTATTTTTGAATACAAAAAAGAAGTTTTCATGTTATAATGTAGTTCATTAGGGGATAAAGCTGGTCCTATGTGAAAATGTATATGCTACTAATCTGAAAGGATTGCCAGTTCATCACAGGCCAAGACAGAAAATCATAGGGCACTCATAGCTAAAGATAATTTAGATACATCATTCAAACTAACAGATATGTTTTTGAATTGTGGGAGGAAGCTAGAGTACCCGGTGCGAATCCACAGGAAAAATAACATGCAAACTCCACGCAAAAAGACCTCAGATTTGAACCCACAACCTTCATTCTGCATTTTAAAGTCAGCTGATCATTTCTAAATAGGGTGAGGAAGGAGAAATGTCAACACTGGTATTGACCTTTTAAACTTAAACGCATGACTAAATATTGTGTTGTTTTTTTATACTAACAATATTTCGCTGGATTAAAAAACTTTAACCAACTTTTGGTTTTAGTCACTCTGATCTACTTCTGTTGAGTACACTGAAGACTGCTGTACTTTGTGGTGTTGGCTAGTTAAGGTTTTTGTTTATATTGGTCATTTTTTTATGTACTTTACAGTACAGTTATGTACAGTTGTTACTCTTTGGGGCAACAGAATTTAAGTTTGGGCTTGAAAACACAAGGAATCGATGTGAAAATCCCATGTTGGAGTTTGCTCAGCTATCACATGACCAACAGAGTCACTCTGCACCTATCTGCTGCTTGTGGCTCGTAAATGTTTCCATTTGTCTGTCTGCATGTGAGAATGTTGGCGTCTCCCTGCTCGTCCTGCTGATTTTAAGTGACAGGAATTAAATCAGGTATGAGCCGCTCTTGCTGTAGGAAAAACCTGTGACTGAATGTATTGTCAGGCTGGTTAGAGAGGACACAGTCTCTGCTCTAGTTTAGCAATGAAGCTAAAACATGCCTCTTTTAAAAAAATGTTTTAACCTCTCATTTTGATTAATTGCAAGATAAATATTTATTATTGTTTGATTTGCAGATGTGAGTCCAGTTAGGAAGACCTCAGGAGTGAAAAGTCATGATGATATTATATTATATTTATATCATGGCTATACAATCGAAGGACTTCCTGCATGTTTTCCCTAATGGAGCTCTAGTGTGACTCTTTATTGAATGTCTTTGTTTCTTTCAGGCAAATGATCAATTAATATTATTGATCAACTAAAG